AAGTGAGCATGTTGGTTCAATGCTCTTCCAGGGCATGAGAAAAGGGCCCTGTATTTGATCTGCACAGCGCAAGCAAATTTAATAACATGCTTGCATTGTGTTTGCTTGAAACTTGTCTCAGGGGTTTCAATAATTAGAATACTCACTGTATCCCATTTATGGAGACACTATGTGTTTGCTTAAAGGGTATCTAGTGTGTTCATAGGGGATCCTGAGTGTGTATGTCAGAAATGTAGTGTGTGTGTAAGTGGTGCAGCATCTGTGTGTAGGGGATCTAGTGTGTGTTTGAAGGACTCAGGAGTGCGTATAGGAGATCTAGTGAGTGTGTGAGTGGTGCAGTGTGTTTGGGGGGTGCTGTGTGTGAGGGGTGTAGTGTGCATTTGTGAGGAGTATAGTGTGTGTGGGAGGGTGCTGTGTGTGGGGGGGGTGCAGTATGTGTGTGGGAGGGTGCAGTGTGTGGGGGTGCAGTATGTGTGTGTGAGGGTGCTGTGTGTGAGGGCGCTGTGTGTGAGGGCGCTGTGTGTGAGGGCACTGTGTGTTAGGGCACTGTGCGAGGGTTCTGTGTATTTGAGGGTGCTGTGTGAGTGAGGGTGATGTGTGTGTGAGGGTGATGTGTGTTGGGGTGCTGTGTGTGTGTTGGGTTGCTGTGTATGTGTTGGGGTGCTGTGTATGTGTTGGGGTGATGTGTGTGTGTGTGCTAGGTTGCTGTATGTGTTAGGGTGCTGTGTCAATGTTAGGGTGCTGGTGTTAGGGTTAGGGTGCTGGTGTTAGGGTTAGGGTGCTGTGTGTGTGTTAGGGTGCTGTGTCAATGTTAGGGTGCTGGTGTTAGGGTGCTGTGTTTGTGTTAGGGTGATGTGTCAATGTTAGGGTGCTGGTGTTAGGGTGCTCTGAGTGTTAGGGTGCTGTGTGTGTGTTAGGGTGCTGTATGAGTGCTACGGTGCTGTGTGTGTGTTAGGGTGATGTGTCAATGTTAGGGTGCTGGTGTTAGGGTGCTGTGTGAGTGTTAGGGTGCTGTGTGTGTGTTAGGGTGCTGGTGTTAGGGTGCTGTGTCAATGTTAGGGTGCTGCTGTTAGGGTGCTGTGTGTGTTAGGGTGCTGTGTCAATGTTAGGGTGCTGGTGTTAGGGTGCTGTGTGTGTGTGTGTGTTAGGGTGCTGTGTATGTGTTAGGGTGCTGGGTGAGGGTGATGTGTGTGTTTGCAAGGATTTTGTATTGGGGGAGGCAGGTAGGTGTTTTACTAAAAAATAATAATAATAAATACATAATACATAATAATAAATAATATTAATAAATACATCAATACATAATAATAAATACAAATAATAATAAATACATAATAATACATAATAATAAATAATATTAATAAATAATATTAATAAATACAAATAATAAATACATAATAATACATAATAATAAATAATATTAATAAATACATAATAATAAATACATAATAATAAATACAAATAATAATAAATACATAATAATACATAATAATATTAATAAATACATAATAATAAATACAAATAATAATAAATACATTATATCCCCCCCCCCCTCATTCTTACCTGTAGTCTGGAAGAGGTGGGGGGGGTTGTGCTGCTGAAATCCATCCCTGGTGGTCCTCGTGGTAAGTGAACTCTAGTCCTTTGGGGCTAGAGTTCACTCTCGCGAGACCCGGCCGGTTGCCATAGCAACGGTCCGGATCTCGCGAGAGGAACCCGGCGGTGCTCTAAGTAAGAGCTCCGCCGGGTCCTCTCTCCTGGCGGCTGTCTCCCTCCCTCTCTCCCCGCCGGAGGCCGCGTTTGAGCACATGTGGGCCGGTGAGGGAGATCTTTGATCTCCCCAGCGTCCCTCCATGGCAAACAGCGGGGCCGGCGCTCGGATAGTGCCGGCCCTGCATAGACCGGCAGGGGAGATCCTGGGACCTCCCCTGCCGGCCTCGGCCCCACGGCCTGATTGTACTGTTGCAACACCCATCTTCTGTTGAGCTTCAGCTGGTAGACAGATGGCCTTAAGTTCTCCTTGCAAAATGTCTTAATAAACTTGGGAATTCATTTCTTCCTTCGATGATGGCAATACGTCCAGGCCCTGACGCAGCAAAGTAGCCCCAAACCATGATGCCCCCACCACCATACTTCACAGTTGGTGTGATGTGCCTTTTTTTCACCACACATAGTGTTGTGTGTTTCTTCCAAACAACTCAACTTTAGTTTCATCTGTCCACAGAATATTTTGCCAGTACTGCTGTGGAACATCCAGGTGCTCTTGTGCAAACTGTAAACGTGCAGCAATGTTTTGTTGTTTGTGGCTTCCTCTGTGGTATCCTCCCATGAAATCCATTCTTGTTTAGTGTTTTACGTATGTTAGATTTGCTAACAGGGATGTCCGCATTTGCCGGTGACTTTTGTAAGTCTTTAGCTGACACTCTAGGATTCTTCTTCACCTCATTGAGCAGTCTGTGCTGTGCTCTTACAGTCATCTTTACAGGACGGCCACTCCTAGGGAGAGTAGCAGCAGTGCTGAACTTTCTCCATTTATGGACAATTTGTCTTACCGTGGACTGATGAACATCAAGGCTTTTGGAGATACTTTTACAACCCTTTCCAGCCTTATGCAAGTCAACAATTCTTAATCGAGAGCTCTTTTGTGCGAGGCATCATTCACATCAGGCAATGCTTCTTGTGAAAAGCAAACCCAGAACTGGTGTGTGTTTTTTATAGCGCAGGGCAGCTGTAACAAACACCTCATCTCAATCTCATCTCATTGATTGGACTCCAGTTGGCTGACATCTCACTCCAGTTAGCTCTTGGAGATGTCATTAGTCTAGGGGTTCACATACTTTTTCCACCTGCACTGTGAATATTTACATGGTGTGTTCAATAAAAACATGGCAACATTTCATTTTTTGTGTGTTATTAGTTTAAGCAGACTGTGACTGTCTATTGTTGTGACTTAGATGATGATCAGATTACATTTTATGACCAATTTGTGCAGAAATCCATATCATTCCAAAGGGTTCACATATTTTTTCTTGCAACTGTATTATATACACACGTAATGTATATATATATATACACAGACACAAACTGATTATATATATATCAATATATATATATAAATATATATATATTGAAGAAAAAAAACATTTGTAAAAAAACTAATAAAAATGCTAACTTTGGCCAGCGTTTGTGACTACTACAAAAGACTGAAAATACCTCATTTGGAATACCTTGGGTTATCTACATTTAAAAATGGTATGCCATGATGGGGTTAATTTTCATTCCTGGGCTGCTATATGGTGTCTAAGGCAACACAGACCCGGCAAACCACTCTAGCAAATTTCAAAGTGCAAACATGGAAAACTGGAAAGCCACTTACATTTCACCCCTGTAAGTCTGCAAAAAGCCATAAAACCTGTACATTGGGGGCACTGTTGTACTCGGTAGATGTTGCTGAACACATATTGGGGTGTTCTTTATCAGTAACACATAACAGGAACTGAGAATCCATGCCTAAAGTACAATGTGAGAGAAAAATAACACACAAAAATGACTTTTTTCATACAGTTTATTACTTTGATCAATTTTAATGCTGTTGTGGTACCTGAGGAAGTTCCTTTTGGAACAAAATGCGTAGAACCAATTGTTCTTTGATTTTATTCTATGCTGATGGTGATTGTTCACCTTTTAACAAAATAAAATCGCTGATTTTTTACTCATCTATTGGAGTCCTGTGTAACATCTGCTACCTTGGAGTAAAGAGTGGGACAAATAGCCCCCCACAACCTCGGGGGAGGCACCTTGTGAGCACTTTATGCATATCAATCTTGTAAGTGCACTTATGTGTGGCACATAACTGACTGTATTAACTGTATTACACTATATTTTGTCTATATTCCTTTTTAGATTTGTCTAGCCGTGTCCCACATATTTGTTTTGGTTTTCTATAAATTGAAAAAGGTCGTCTTTTGGGTAGTGATCTTGGGAGGCTGTTTTTGATTCTGAGCTAAGTATAATTTATACTTTATATTCACTAAACTTACTGACACTGTGGTGATATACTTTTTTTGGTTAAAACATGAAATCTTGGCAGGTTTGCTCCAGCATGGGCTGTTCTCCTTCCTTTAACTCCTTTTTACCTTTAGGCTTTAGCACAATTATTCCCTTACAATCTACTCTTTTCTGTCATCTCCTGTCCAGCAACAGTCCTCCAGAACGTCATAGAATATTCTTGTCTGTTATCCCCTTTCCTCTAATGCATAACAATTGCTCAATTAATCCATACTAAAACCAATCCTTTCAATTTATTCATACATTTAACCTGGTGTTTTTGGAGTTATTATTCTGCTTATTAAAGTGTTTGAGAAGGCACAAACTAAAAATGATTTAATCCCTGGAAGTCCTGATGATGGTATGTAAAACACAGCCTTCCTGGACAAACAGGTGAATGTGGGAAACAGAATTTGCAACAAGACTGGCCTATTTGAAATCTACGGATGAGCACAAGATATATACTCATATATAATTTGTATAGAAGATTTAATTTGGTTTTAGCTTGAAATAAGTAGCACTTCATGAAGTTCTTTATTTTCTCATTTTGAAAAATCCATCTTTTCTTCAAGATAAAACAGTAGAGTTTACTCAGCATGTCTACAAAATAGATAGGGTTATTGACTAAATTCCATATTTCCAAAATTACAGAATGCCAAATCTGAGGCAAAAATAGCCAAGTGGTAAATCTGACTGAGTTGTCAAATTTTCTAAATCAGCTATTTTTAACTCATCTTTTTCAAATGGATTTAATTCACAAAAATTAAGACATTAGTAAATAACCTGAAAGTGTAAGCTGTGCCTTGTGTATGTTTACCATTTTATATAAATACATATATAACTTTATATGGTAGCCCAATACATTTATATGTAGAAGTTATTTATTTTTTGAGAAATACTATGACTTTACATTTTTTCGATTCTTCCTCTCACTTCCTCTTCACTATGAAGTTTTATAACGAGTTTTGATTTCCTTCGGTCACAGTGTCTCTCGCACAGTAATATGTCCCAGAATCCTCACTTCTCATATTTGGCATTTCAAAGTAAAGTTCATTTTTTGATGTGTCTCTGGTGAAAGTTACTTTTCCTTGGAAGATCGAGGCACAAAAAGTGCCCCCACCAATAGCAATATACCCAATATATTCCAGTGCTGACCCTGCTTTCTGTCTGACCCAAGCCCAGTGAGCACTAGTAACAGACACTGAGACTTTACATGGGATTTTCAGGGTTTCAGAGGGTTTCACAACTGCAGATCCAGGTTGGTCCAGAATAACTGTCTGGGAAAGAACATCTGTAAAAGAAACAAATATAACAATTTAAGAGGAACATGTAATGTATAATGCCTGAAAATAAAATGGTTATGTACAGCATACATGTGTTCCTTACATGACACAGATATCAGCAGAGGAAGCACTATGTAGAAAGCCCTCATTATGTTCAGTGGATAATAAGAGCAGACAATACACAGTATCTGCTGGTTCCTATCACTGAGCTCAGTCTGTGACACACACAGCTTATAACAGGATGCAGACACTATGATTTACATGAAGAGCTCTATAAGAGTAAGGGAGGATACATTTGACAAATTTGTCATATAGCTAGTGGCAAAAGACTGCAAATAATTGAAGTCACTAACGTTTATTTGCCAAACTTATTTTGCTATTAAATAGATGACAATATTTACAAACACTAAAAAATGAAATTACTAAAATTTTCAATCTAAATCTGTATACATAAACTACCTGCTTTTCCCCTGTAACCACCCTTCTTTTCTGTACCCCTACAAAACGTAAAAAAAATCAATAAAAATGGTCAAATTCAAAAAATAAAAATCTGTATACATGTTTTGTTAGTCTGCAAATCTGTCAAATAGTTGAAGTAGTTGGGACTGTAGTAAGATATATAAAACATATGGAATAATACTGATAACATTACATTTATAATGCATGCATGAATGTATAAATGTAGATATTGTATGGTTGCATGAAATACATTCAGTTCAATTTAAAGCACAGAAGTCAGTTAAAAGATCCATGAGTTTTATTATCATACCAGAGGTGTACTTAGCCCTCTCTTGTGTCTTATGCTTCCCTTGTGTTTCTTACTCTTCCCTTGCTTCTCTTATGCCAACTTCGTCTTTTATGCCTCTTAGCATCTCTGATGCCATGCTTGCATTTCTTATGCCCCATTTTGTCTTTCACCACCCTTTAGTGCCTTCTACCCCTCTTTTGGCACTTACTTTCCTTGTTGTCTCTTCTACTCACTCTCTTGTGTGTCTTACACCCTTGGGTCTCTTTCCTCTCCTGTTTTGTCTCCTACCCCCTTTCTTGAATTTCAACCCCTCTAATGTCCCTATGCCTCTCCCTATTTGCTTTACCCCTTTTGCTTTTTCTTACATCCCACACCCTGCCTACACCCTAGGAGACCATGATAGAGAATTTTCCATTATCATTTACCTGGTCTGAAAACGCTGCTCTCTGCATTCTATGAGTGTGATATCCCTGCCCTTTCCAGTTACAACACGTGGAAAGCAGTTTTTCTCAGACTGGGTATAAAATAAGGAATATCCTCTACTGTGGTCCATTAGGCTACACTACCCAAAGTGACCAGTGGGATAAATGGAACCACCTCTCTATTTAATGATCATGGCTTGAGATCTGACTGTGAATCTGCTAATTCAGCATTTCATTTGTTTTCAGAGTAACAGCAAATTTTGTATTACACCAAGAATAAAACTGGTGCATTTTCAACAGCAGCTGCAAATCGCAAGATGCCTTTACAATTTGCATTATAACGCTGCCAAACCTTTCAAAAAGTATTATTTTGCAAACAAGAAAATCAAAGAAAAAAGTAGCCAACAAAACATGATAAAAATGAATAATATTCATACAGCACTCAAGTGCCGTAAACAAATGATTCAACCTTTAAAAAGTAACTTGTGATTTCTACACCATTGATTAGAAAAGAAGAAAAAGATATTAAGATAATTAAGATAATATTAGTAAAACTATTCAAATATGTCATAAATCAAAATAGAATATATTAATTGATAGTTTCATTTCTGTTTTTATAGGACATAGAGCTTACTCATAGGGGTATTTGTCAGGTATATAATATCACACCATTGAAGAACTTCCCTTAATAAACATACTTTCATCTATCTGTCTCAGGCAATGATTGTTATGGTTCAGAGGTTGATCATAATGTTGTTATTCCTTTCTACCAAATAAACCTGTTGGAGTGCAAAAAAAAAGCTTTGCATTATTTGTCTTATTTTGTTTATCTATCTATTATTTTTATTTTTATTATTGGTATTTATATTGCGCCAGCTTATTCTGCAGCGCTTTACAATAAAATCTATCAGACTTGTGAATGGTGGAAAAATATGGTTCAGCTAAACCAATTTGTTGTCCGAATATCTTCAAGTTATTTTCCACAAAAATAAATATTTGTGTTAAAAAATGTGTTGCTGCTTGCTGGATTTGTTACTGTAATTTAATTAAAGGGACACTATAGGCAGTGGCGTACTAAGGGAGGGGAGAGGAGGGGCGGTCCGCCCCAGATGCCATTAGGTAGGGGGGTGCAACCAGGGCTGGCCAGGCTTGGGGTTCTGTGAGCTGTGTGGCTGCACAGGATGCCATAGCAGCAGAGGTGCCGGGCAGCTGACACAGCTCACACACACAGGGGCTGGAAGCAGGAGCAGGAGACCTGCACGGAGCTGGGGCGGGGTCAGGTTGGCCATGGGGCGGAGCCAATCTGGATGTGGGGGCGGAGCTAAATGCAGCCTCTTACTGCTCACATAGAGGGGAAGCAGGAAGGTGTCCCTGCTTCCCCAACTCCAACACACCAGGGACTCACTGAATCCACTCCTCCTCCAGCCCAAGCTGACTGTAAGTGAGAGAGAGTGTGTGCTGGGTGTAACTGTGTTTGAGACTGTCTTTGACTGTGTGTGTGTGTGTGTGTGACTCTCTGTGATTGCCTGTGTGACTCTGTGTGTGTGACTGTCTGCCTGTGTGTGTGTGTGTGACTGTCTGTGTGTATGTATGTGTGACCTTCTGCCTGTGACTGCGTGTTTGACTGTCTGCTTGTAACTGTGTGTGAGTGACTATGTGTGTGGGACTGTGTGCATCTGACTGTGCCTGATGGTCTTCACCCTGCAGTGAGCCGGCAGCCGGGATATGATGTAATCGCGGCCTCTGTGTCATTACAGGGCGTGCGAGGGACCTGTGCAGGAAAAGCACAGATATCCCAGCAGCAACCACTGACCACCAGGGACTGAGGATCCACTCCAGCCCTTCTAGAGCAAGGGAGGCTAGGTGGACCTCTTAATTATTAAATGTGTGTATGTATGTAATGTTTGTGTGTATGTGATTGTATGTCTGTGAGTGTAGGTGCGGACGTCTGTGATTGTGTTTGTGTATATCTCTGATTATGTGTATTTCTGTGTATGTGTTTAGTAGATAGCTCCCTTATTTGGTGTCTTTAAATATTGCAATACCACATAAGGATAACAAATAAGGTATTTATCTACTAAACAAGTGAAAATAAGAAAAGGGCTTTTGCTTTTTTAATTTTGATCCTTTGGCTGTTTAGTAGATAATTCCCTGAATTATATGCAAATGTGTTGTCAGATGCCAGTATGCAGAGCACAGCATGCTGGCATCAGACAGCCAATGGCAGCATATTACCCCATCCCCTAGTGAAAAGTTTTCCTACTCACTCCACCCCCCCCACCCCCCGTTTTGATTGTGGTATCTTATGTGCCCCCGTCCCCTATATATTGTTCCTAGAGTCGCCACGATGTCTGCATGTGTGTCAGTGTGTATCTGTGTCTGACTGTGTTTCTGTGTATCTGCATGTGTGTATGTGTGTGTATGTGTATATGTACATACATCTCAAAATCTCGACAACACTACCCACAAATACACTCATGCATTTCAACGTCAACACTACATACAAACCCCACCATTATATATAACAATACCATGGCATTCAGATAGCACACAACATGCAAATGCATGCTTGCATTCAAACGCCAACGCTACATACAAACACACCCCTACATTCACTCACACATACACCATACAAAAATATGCATACATTCAAATACACAAACACTGCTCATTGCTAAATACATTTAAAAAAATGTTGGTTGTTTTTTACATTTCAAGTTGAGGGGGGGAGTGCCAAAAATAGGACCCGTCCCGGGTGCCAAATTCTCTAGATACGCCCCTGACTATAGGCAGCCAGACCACTTCAGCTCATTGAAATGGTCTGGTTGCAGTGTCCAAAGTCCCTTAGCCCTGCAAAGGTAATTATTGCAGTTTTTGATTGTAACAGATCGCCTGGCAACCCGACCGGGTACCTCCATCTATCGCTTCTTCCTAGTACTTGCGAGTACCATAATCACTGCACTGGAAAACCATAATTACCGTATATCCCACAGACCACCGCAGCTTGGTTGGGGCCTCGCCGTCCTCCACCCAGCCAGGACCCAAGACCAGGATCCAGTTTCCAGTGGGTAGACCTCTCTTAGTCCAGAGAGCGTAGCAGGAACAGGAGACAAACCAAAGTACTTCTTGCCCTCAGTCACCGTAGCTTGACTGGGGCCCTGGAACCATCACCTCCTTCCTGGATCCGAAACGGAAAATTAGCTCTGACACCTCCAGGCACTGGACGACACTCAGCCCTGGGAACTCTGGAACTGAATGGAGAATTAGCTCTAGTTCTTACAAGGACCTTCCCAGTTGAATCTCCTGCAAGCTGGAACAGCCGACACAGGAGCAAATCTTCTTTCCCTCCAATAACTGGACGACACACAGTTTTGGAGTATAAGCAGGAATCTCTAGTTTAATGGGACACACTGGCCTTTTATACAATTTTTCAGGCCAGAGGAACACCCCCTGGACCTGATGGGGCACAGGAACCCAAAGGACATAGACCAATCAGAACAAACATACAGTCTGTGACACGCCCATGTACAGCGCACACAATCCCTCCCCTCTGCTTAGGAGATAATTGAGTAAAGTCCTGTAAGTACCCCAAAATCCAACATATCCTCATAAATATCCCCTGATAGCCCCGATCTGGGTGAACAACATATCCAAAAATCACCGAGATTAGTTCAGGGGTTCAGGAATTTCCTGGAAGTCATAGTTTTGACTGACTGCAAGCATGGCCCCATGCCCAAAACAGTTCCAGGGAAATCAGTGCTAACAGTCGGTCAAGTTTGGTAGTCTTTTACAGGTTTCCCTGTAAGGCTCATAGTCTGTGGGCAGGAGGCTGGCAAGCAGGTTCCTCCAGGAGCTCATGGCAAACTCACTTGAAAAGGGGAGTTAGTCACATTGATAAACTGAAATAATTACCTTGAAGTGCTAATTCCACCTCTAGTGTCTGTCTACCAGAGAGCCACTAGACGGACTTCCAGGTGATTGGGCAACTTTTGGTCACCTAACTGATGCTGGATGTCCTCTTGCTATGTATCCAAAATCCCACAGAAAAGCATTATACAATTCTCACCAATCCTTAACCACACCTCCAGGCTTATCACCTCCTTGGTGATAAGTACTAGCTGACCTTAAGCTCAGTGGGCACATCCATACCATTTTGAGATTCGAGGACGGGGGATCTACACTACATCATCATACCCATTTAGTTTCTATCCACCCTGATTGGCAAGGACACATCCTGCCTGATGTGACAAGAAATAACAGTTGGGGACCAACATAACATCACAGATAAACAATTCCAAATCAAAGGGAAGGTGGCTTGTAGCTGAGCAGATTATCAAAGTAAAATGGCTGAAGTAGGAAATGTAAAACACTCCCTTATATATCCTGAACCTTGCTCCCCTTAGCTGTCAGCACTTGCATGCACTTAACATTAATTATTCACTACACCACACTCACACAAGGGCATTGTCCAGCTTTGCTTCCCTCTCAAGAGTCGTTTCTACTATTTCTTTTTTTCATTGAACAACACACACATAAAAAAACAACTTATTTATGCAAACAGTTAACAAAAAGACCAGTCAAACTCTAAGTCAGTGAAAAAACTTGATTTAAGTGGCAATAACTAGGCATAGCAGTAATCCTACCACAAGTCTCACACTAGTATTATTTAAATGATTATGATATTACTGCTGTACCTACCTATCTAATGCAAGTT